CGAGAGGACGGAGCATTGTTCCCACAGGACCGATCACCGATGGCCAATCATTCCTTCCTACTTTGCCAAAGGGGTCTGGAAAATGTCTTCCTAGTCTATCTATCCTAACCATGTCACTTCTACCGATATCATTTCCGGCCGTTTCAACCCACTTCCTATGCCCCAGTACAGCTTACGTCTTCTCCTGGCTATCCCATGCCTCGATTTCCCTGTACTTCTCTCATACTTTTCCCAGCCCAGTCATGTACACTTCCCTCTCCTTCTTGATCGGCGGGGGGGGGGGGGTACTCATAGTCGTGCATGACGTAGTCGTTAGACCATTGACCTCGCATCCCTACAAAGCCGGGACGGAGCACGCCGGGTTCTCACCGGACCAGGCTCTCACATCACCAAGCGCGAAGCGCCGTGAGATATTCGGCGAGTCGCATGAAGGGTGCGCTGCATCCTGCTAAGGGTTTTCGGCATCTTGTGCTTACTTCCTTGCGTACGGATGACAGCTGCGTATGACTTAATTTATTTTCTGGTGCTTTCACTTCCAGAGACAGTTGTAAGCACTGTGTAACTGCCTCGAGGGTGCTTGACCATTTTAACACAACGTGGTGCGATCATCCCCCTTGCGCGGAGTGAGGGTTCTCGACCCCGCACAAAATGATCTACTCGACCACCATCCATGGTTGCCGCCAAAAAAAAAAACAGAGGAAAAAAAACAAAAACGGCAACCTGGTTGCCGAGCTCACGAAGTGAATTGGCTTGTCTTACAACGTCATTGCCAAGCGACGATTACCCAATCCCGATGGCAAACACCGGCGGGGGCGGGGGGTGTACTCTCATGTTTTGCATGCCCTTAGCGGTTAGACCATTGACCACGCGTCCTCGAGAGGACGGAGCATTGTTCCCACAGGACCGATCACCGATGGCCAATCGTTCCTTTCTACTTTGCCAAAGGTGGCTCAAAAATGTCTTCCCTAGTCTGTCTATCCTAACGATATCCCTTCCCGCCTTTTCAACCCACCTCCTATGCCCCAGTACAGCTACCGTCCTTTCCTCTCTATTCCATGCCTCAAACATCTCCCTGTACGTTCCATCTATTTTTCCCAGCTCAGTCACGTACACTTCCCTCTCCTTCATGTACAACGGACATTCCGCGACTACATGAACACGGCCTTCGCATTCGAAGCCGC